CTTCGGAAAAAGCAATGCAAAGGTAAATTTCAGCCCCCAAAGGACAGAACTTACACATAATTTGGAAAACAACCTGGTAATACCAAGTTGCTGGCATGTAGATAGCCATTTTCAGTTGTTTCAGATTTGGCTGTAAAGGCTAAGATGGAGAAAACCAGCAGTGGGTTTGTTTTTTTTTTTTAAAGGAAGAAGAAGAGTTAACATTTACTAAATATGTGCATCTTGGCAAGCACAGGGCTGGGGGCTTCCTCAGGTCCCTTATCCCCCTGCATCTTCCCAACCATCCCCTGAGGTAGATTCTAGCACTGTGACCGTCTCCATGTGATGGAGCAACAGCGTCACACAGAGTAACTCGTCCTCCAGCCATCCCTAGAAGAGGCAGGTGTCATCTGACAGTTTGCCCACAGGCCTGCACCCTTCACCAAGGCTCCAACTGTCTCCCCTTGCGGGCCAGGCCCTGGTTCCCGCCCCGGACAGCTTTCCCCCGCCCCCCAGCAGTTTTGCCCTGAATAGGCTTCAGGATAAGTTCCTTCCTTGTGATAAGCAGGGCCCACGATCTCTGACAGCTGTTCCCCACTCCTCATCATCCTCTGAAACAATCAGTAAGCATTAGAGAGCACTTTTCCCTTTACAAAGGTGATAATTAGATAACAAGCTGAGATTAAAGTAATTACAGTCAGACAGCTGGCGAGGCAGCACAGTCATGTTGAAATATTGTTGGTACTTCAGCATCTGGTTCTAATAACAGCACAGGCTAAAGGATTTTACATTAATTACAGAACATAATTTAATATAAACATATTTAATTACAATTGATGAGCGATAAACTGTTCAAGAATGACTTAACCCCTTCCGTGTGTCAAAGTGATGGGAACTTTGGGCTGGCTGCAGTCTCTTCCACTGTCTCTCTCAGCCTCCCCCACCATGCCTTCCACAACTCCCTGGTCCCCTCTCCTACAGAAAGTCTCCCTCAAAGACAGAATGTTCTAGTTGGGGATGTTGCTCATTGACTATCCTATGGGTGTCTGGTGCACGTACAGCACTGCCCATCCACAGAGAGCCAGCGGAAAGGAGGGGAGTGTGCCAGCCAGGCTGGGATACATTGCTTTGACTAGACCAGCTGCCCTTCCTCATATTACCTCACGCCGGTGAGACAAGAGGTTGGCTTTCCTCAGCTCGTCTTCCCCATGTTCTCACACCTTTATGTGGTGTTGACTTGGCTTCTGACAGTCAGTGAGCCACCTCTTAGACCATCCTCAGGTCTCCAAGAAAAAGTATGTCATGACTAGGAAGTCCCTGGTGGCTGGAGTATTTTCATAATTTTAGAGAAAACGTGTAACATCTGGAGACCCCTACGTGAGAAAGGACACTCTGTTTTGTCAGGAGTTCTTCCTCACATGCTGCTAACCCCTATCCTTCCCCCTCCAAACTGGCAGAAACAGATCTTGTGTGAAACAGTTTCAAACAACTGGAACCACACAGACACAGTCCTCCATGGATAGAGGACTCAATCATCATCACTGCAACCTGCACATCGACTTCCCAGATTCATAAATGAAAGATATTAAAAAGCCACAAAGATGCCATGTTATGCACTACATGACTATATTCCCCCCAAGCTTCATATTTTGAAATCATAACCCCCAATAGGGGGTTAGGAGATGGAGCCTTTGGGAGGTAATTAGGTTTAGACGAGGTCATGAGGGTGGAGTCCCCATGATGAGATTATTCATAAAAGTCAAAAAGTGGAAACAACCTAAATGTCCATCACCTAAGGAATGAATAAACAGAATGTGGCTCAGCCGTACAACTGAGTATTATCCAGCCATAGAAAGGAAGGAAGTATATTAGAGGCTACAGCATGGATCAACCTTGAAAACATCTTGCTACGTGAAAGAAGACAGACACCAAAGCCCACATATTGTATGATTCCATTTATATGACATGTCCAGAATCGGCAAATCTAGAGAGATAGAAAGTAGACTCATGGTTGCCAAGGGAAGGGAGGAGAGGGGAAATGAGAGGGACTGCTAAAAGGTATGGGGTCCCATTTTGGGGGTGACGGTAATGTTCTAGAATCAGATAGTGGTGATAGTTGCATAACATTGTGAATATACTAAAAACCACTGAATTTGTACACTTCAAAATAGTTAAAAGAGTAGATTTTATGTTATATAAATTTTAACTCAATTAAAAAAAAATGCCAATCTGGGAACTGGAGCTTAATCCCACTGGAGAAGCTGGGAGCCTATGTAAAGTGCGTGGCTCAGCGTTATCTCATCCAAGAAGTGAGGAAGCTGGGGTATTTATATACCTACTCCCACCAGTCACTGATGAAGAAGGTTGCTTCAGTGCAATCCTTATCAAAATCCCAGTGGAATTTTTCACAGAGATAGAGAACAAAAAACCTTAAAATTTGTATGGAACCACAAAGACCCCAAATGGCCAAAGCAATCTTGAGAAAGAAGAACAAAGCTGGAGATATCATGCTCCCTGATTTCAAACTATATTATAAAGCTATCATAATCAAAACAGTATGATACTGGCATAAAAACAGATGCATAGATCAAGGGAATAGCTCAGAAATATATCCATGCATATTTGGCCAATGAATTTACAATAAAGGAGGCAACAATATACAGTGGGGAAAGGATAGTCTCTTTATTTATTTATTTATTTGTTTGTTTGTTTATTTTTTAAGACTTTTGTTTATTTATTTAACAGAGATCACAAGTAGCAGAGAGGCAGACAGAGAGAGAGGAGGAAGCAGGCTCCCTGCTAAGCAGACAGCCCGATGCGGGGCTCCATCCCAGGATCCTGGGATCATGACCTGAGCCGGAGGCAGAGGCTTTAACCCACTGAGCCACCCAGGCGCCCCAGGATAGTCTCTTTAATAAATGGTTTTGAGAAAACCAGACAGCCACAAGCAAAAGAATGAAATGAGACTACTATCTTACACCATATGGAAAAATTAACTAAAAGTGGATTAGATTTGAATATAAGACCTGAAACCATAAAACTCCTAGAAGAAAATGTAGGTGGTAAACTCCAGGACATTGCCCTTCGTGCTATTTTGGATCTGACTCCAAAAACAAAGGCAACAAAAGCAAAAATAAACAAGCGGGACTACATCAAACTAAAGGGATTCTGCACAGCACAAGAAACCATCAACAAAATGAAAGGTAACATACTGAAAGGGACAAAATATTTGCAAGTCATAGATCTGATAAGGGGTTAACATCCAAAATACACAAAAACTCATACAAATCAACAGCAAAAAAGCAAACACTCCAAAAAAAAAAAAAAAATGGGCAGAGGATCTAAATACCTACTTTTCCAAACAAGACATACAGATGGCCAACAGACCACGAAGAGATGCTCAATATCACTCATCACAAGGGAAAAATGCAAATCACAACCACAATGAGATGTCATCTCATACCTATTACAATGGCTATTTCAAAGTCAAAGAGTAACAACTTTTGGCAAGGAGGTGGAAAAAAGGGAACACTTGTGCACTGTTGGTAGGGATTTAAGATTGGTGTAGCCACCATGGAAAACAGTATGGAAGTTCATCAAAAAGTTAAAAATGGAAATACCATATGACCCAGCAATTCCACCTCTGGGCATTTATCCAAAATAAATGAAAACACTAATTTGGAAAGATATATGCATCTCTACGTTCACAGCAGTTATATTCACCATAACCAGGATACGGGAACAACATTAAGTACACATTGATGGATGAACTGATAAAGAAGACATTGTACATACACACACACACAGGAATATTACCCAGTCATAAAAAATAATGAATCTTTGCCTTTGCAACAGCATGGATGGACCTTGAGTGTATTATGATGAGTGAAATTAAGTCAGAGAAAGATAAAAACCATGTGAACTCACTTCTTTATAGAATCTAAAAACAACTGAAAGTCACAGATCCAGAGAACAGAGTGGTGGTGCCACAGGGGAAAAGAGCTAGAGGGTGACTGAAATGGGTGAAGGGGGTCAAGAAGTACGAGCTTCCAGTTATAAAAGAAGTCAGTCGTGGGGATGTAATCTAAGCACAGTGACTCTAGTCAATAGTATTGTTGTGCATATTTGAAAGTTGCTAAAGGAGTAAATCTTAAAAAGTTTTCATCACAAGAGAAAAAAACAAGATTTTGTAACTTTGCATGGTGATGGATAGTAACAGACTTAGTGCGGTGATTACAGTGTATACAAATATCAAATCATAACATTATACACTTGAAACTAGTATGATGTTATATGTCAATTATCCCTCAATTTTAAGTCTGTATAAAATGCTTCACAGCGCTAGACACAGAGAAAGCTCTCAATAGATGTAGTTATTTTTATAGAAGACTCAGTATGATTAAATAAGTTGATAAAAATGGCCCAGCTTATGCAAAGTGGTGGTAGGATTTCCTCAGATCTGTCTACATGACATAATCTTTCTTTCTACAACACAATCTTTCATATAGAGAATTATACTAACCAAATATATACCAACCACCTTGCAAACACACATCAAAAGGCAATTATGTCATCACTGCATTCAGAGGCTATAACAACATCTTTATATCCTTACTCTCTCTTTCCCCCTTATGTACCCTGTTTGGGGGGGAGCAGCTGCTTTTCTCACAAAAAGGCCTGAGGGCTGATGTTATTGTCTGCTCAAGTTTAAATAGATGTGGTTTTTTGTGTAGACGCTCATTTGAGATTCAAAGCCCGCGCATTTGCTGCCAATTTAGTGCAAAGGACCAAGATACAGGAACACCTGAGACTGCAGGAGCAGTGGGACGACGCTTTCTCACTCACGTGTGGGTCCTCCTGTTCCCCTCCTGAATCATGTGACTTTCAGTGGGCTCAACAAAAGGGTGCCCTAGTGGGAGAAAATGGAAGGAATCTCTTCCCATCATGCCCCGCATGGACTCCCGGCAAAGGGTACGCTGGAGGGATGACAGGAGGATGTGGGGCTGGGAAGCCAAGCCTACCTGATCAGGTAGTGGTTGATAATAGTGTCGAAGTAGCTGTAATACACGGCGTTGTTCACGTGGCCATATTGGTCATTGTCCTGCCACCTCGTCTGGATGGGTAAGAAGTACCCATAGCCCTCATGGTGCCGACAACAATCTGCAAACCTCTGGTTCTTTGGTGATGTGCTCAAGGAACGGACATTCCTAGGAAGCAACCTGGAAACCCAGCAGGTCATAGCTGGTGATTGCTGTCTTGGAGCCGACCTTCAAGAAGAAAGCAACAAAGGATAAGGATAGGGTGCCAAAATCTTGATTTCAAGTTTACAAAAGCAATTTCATTCAATTTTGTCCATCGGTTTCAAAAGGAAATTCGATTTTTCTCCCAGGAAATAAATCTTCCCTTATAATCCAAGTACTCATCACAAACGATTTACTTTTTTAAAGGACTCCTTACTAAAAAAGCTTTCACAAACAGTGAGAGAAACAAGTGAAGCCTCTGTTTAAATCTGACTAGTGGGAATTTTAAGTATATTTTGTAAGGAGATCTTCTGTTCCATAAAGTATTTTCAAGGCAACTTCCTTCCTTCTATCCTTCCTTCCTTCTTCTCTCCCTCCCTTCCTTCCTTTCCGATTTATTTATTCGAGAGCAGGGGTAGGGGCAGAAGGAGAGAAAGTCTTAAGCATACTCCACACTGAACATGGAGCCCCAGGCGGGGCTCAACCTCAAGACCCCGAGAAACCAAGAGTCAGACACTTAACTGACGTCACCATCCAGGCACCCTGAGGTGGGTGCGTTTCTGATGAAATCTGTAACACCACTAAGGGTATAAAGAGAGAATTTAGGCAACGAGTATAACATAAAATGATTGCCAGAAAATAACATCAGCTGGGTCTACCAACTATCAGCACTTTTTTAAGGTTATGAATATTCTTCCCTGGAACAAAGGTAATTTCCAAAAATGGAAAAAATTTTAAATATGCATAACAAAAGGGGGATACCCAACAACCCAATGACACCAACCATATGCATTATTCCAGTTTTATAGTCATGTATCTGGATATGCATTCTTAAGTTGGACCATATTGCACACGCTGTGTCATTATCTCTTCTGCTTAACAGTAGGTCGTTACCATGTGTACATATTCTCCACATCATTTGTAAGGTTGGATTCCTGGTAACATTCCATTGTATTGAAGCAGCACAATTTATCAACCCTCTGTTGCTGCGTACTTAGGATTCTGACTCCAATTTTATTGACCAGGATTAGAATCTTGGTAAATAAATCTTCCCACACACCCACGATTATTTTCATAGGATAAACACCTCAAAGCAGAATTGCTGAGTTCAAGGGCAAATGAACTGTTAAAGACTTTGATATAAATCAGTGCCCTCTAGAAAGGTGGTACCAACTTCTACCCTCCCCAGCGGTGTATGAGCAGGTCAATTTCCTTGTCAATTTTAAAATGCTTTATTGATTTGACTGTGTTCTCTCATTTCTACACAAATCCAACGAAACGTGCTAAGTGGAGAGAGGACTCGTGCCACCAGCTGATAGAATAACCAGTATCAGAGTGACCCCTCTGTTTGAGAAGCACTATCAAAGCTACAGAAAATGTAGAAGAGCTGCTTGAAGCTAGGAGCAAATAATCAAGGCAGCAGGACAGGGGAACACACGCAAGGGAGCCCAGCACTTGCCACTGTTTTTCCTCACCCAGGTATATGCCGGCTCACTGTGTGGGGAACAAAGCCTGCGAGACAGCAGCAGTCTACAGCTCATGACAGTCTTGTCGTGTTGGAAAAGGGGACAAGCAGTGATAGGCCAGCTGCAGAGAAGTGAGCCTGGAGGTGCAGGTTCCCTGGAGGGCATCTGCTGCGTCCACACAGTAGGTGCTCTTAGGAGACAGACAAACCCGAGGAAAGCAACTACTACAAGGCTAAAAAAAAAAAAAAACTAAGGAGAAAGTAAGAGTCTCACTGCTGTGGATACACAAATCAGCTTTCAGGGATGCTGAGGAGGAGGGCAAAGACCCCAGACTTTCAGGTTCAATCCGAGAAGGGCTCCTCTCTTTCAGGGAGGACAAACCTTAAACTGACCAGCTTTGATCAAGCTCACCTACCCAAATATCATCTGTGAGCCAGTGGGAAACTAAATCACCTCTAACGGGAAACAAGACCACCTACAGCCTCAGTAGCATTTCAAGCACAAAGTCTGTACTCAGTCAAAACCTATCAGGATAAAGGGACAAATGACCAAAACCCCAAATTGTTTAAAAAAAAAAAAAGACAATAAAGAGACTCAGAGACTCACACAAATTTTGTAATAACCATGATTACTAGACATCAGAGAGAAAGGGCTAATATCCATCCCTAACACATAAAGAACTCTAAAATTGAGGGGGTTAAGAGTTTTAAAAACCCAAAAGGAAAATAAGTGAAAGTCACAAAGAGACAATTCACAAATGCTTTTAAGTGAACTTTAAACATATGGAAAGATGGACTTCGGTCCAAATATGAGAAATTATAACTATGCTGTATTACTGTTTCTCAGTGATTAAATCTGGTAAAAATACAAAGCTTGACAGCACATTCTCTTGACAGGACTGTAAGGAAAGAGCCACTCTCACACACTGCGGATGGGAATGTCCTCTACCTCTCTGGGAGAAGAATGTAACAATATCTAATAAAATCACAAGTGAGTTTACCTTTTGACTCATATCTAAGAACTTACCTTGAAGGTACACCTTCAAGAATACAAAAATACATATAAATAAGGAACATCATTATTTATTATTGAAAAAATATTGGGATAAAACCAACACGGAAGGTTGGCTGATAAACTATGGTACATTCACATGATGGTATAATACATAGCTGTTAAAAAAAAAAAAAAAACTAAAGAAAGCATATAAGGAGAGATTTCCAGGATATATTTGCAGTCAGTCAAAATAAGCGAAGGGCAAGAAAACATACACAGTATGCTACTTTTGTATAAGAAAGAAGAGAAAATAAGCTCTTTTCTGGGAGACCCTAACTAGCTGGAGCGAGACAGAGGGAGAGCACCAAGGTGATATCCACAGCCTGTGTGTCTTGAAAGCAGCTCTACAGGGCACTAAGTGTCTGCCAGACCTGGAGCCTGCTCCTCAGACCCAAGTTCCAGGCCTGGCAAAAAGGCCAGTCACAGGACTAGGGAGGTGTGCTTCAGTCTGCTATCTGTGCAATGTCCTGGGTGTGACACCATGCCAAGAAGTGTCTCTCTGCCTGCCATAGTTTCCTGGGACCCAGGTATACATACCCCTACCCCATTGTGGGTGACTAGAGCCAAGGGATCAGGGGGTGTCCTCTGGGCAACAGCTGCAAGAACCAGGGCACCACACACATAAAAGCTCCCTTCCAGGAAATGCTGGTGCTCTAGAGCACAGCAATGGGAGGGCATAAAGATGGCACCAGCCAGTCTCCATCCCTAGACAGTCCAGTAGGCTACTAGATGTGTTAGATTCGATGCCTATCCCTCAGGTTGAGGGTTGGCTTAGGTTGGTTTAATAAGATAAGATAATTATTTGTTTATATTTACAAAAGGAAACTTGGGAAGGTTGAACCTGAAACTAATGAGGGTGCATTAACAAGGTTGGGGGGGTGAAGAAGGGAAGTAACGCTCCTCTGAATATAGCTTTTTGGGTGATTTTGGGTTTGGGGACCATGTTCATGTTTTACATACTCACATAAGATGATGATGATGACAATGAAATTAACAATGATGGAAGGGAAAAAAATATAAAATGGAATATAAACAGAACCAAATGAGTCCAACTGTATTTCAAATGACTAACAATCACACTGAAGGGGAAAATAATTATTTTTGAATACAGAGTTTTGACTATATACCCTCAGGCTAAAGACAAAAATCTTTTAACAAATTCTAAACACTGGTTTGTGCACATGTTTTTTTATAGTGGGAGGGCTAGCAATTCTGAAACTGTTTTCTATGACTCTAAGACTGGGAAAACGAGTAGATATGTCGAGGATAATGTGAGCCAGGTTTCTCACTTGGAGAAAGGATTTACAAATAGAAAGGAGAAAAAACTAAAATGAACCTTCTGGTGTTAGATTAAACTTTGGAGTATCAATATGAACTCATAGTTTAGAAATAGAAATAGAGATTTCTTATCCCCATTGAGCCTAGACACAATGGCACTCCAGTAGCAAAACGATCTTATTTAAGTGTCCAGGTCTTAGATTCTAAACACCTTTCTCCACTAAAAGAAACCAGGATGCCTTAAAGAAATGACTAATTCCAATGCTGAGGCAGATTAAAAAAAAAAAAAAGATGATCCTGGAACATCTTGTTGTGCCAGCAGATAAAGAACGTTCAAAGAAGATGGCAAAAGTTCATAGGACCCTGCCTAAGGGGATTTGAAATAGCCAAATTTGGAATATTTAAGCATTAGATTTAAAAATTAGATCACGTGGGGAGGGTGCCTGGGCTGTCAATCAGTTGGGCATGAGACTCTTGATTTCAGCTTGGGTCATAATCTCAGGGCTGTGACAATGAGCCCTGCATCAGGCTCCATGCTGGGTATGGAGCCTGCTTGGGATTCTCTATCGATCTCCTTCTGCCCCCTCCCCCCACTCTCTAAAAGAAAAAGATTGATGGAGCATAATCTTCTCAATTAAATAAGAATTCTTAAGTCTGCAAAATTAATAGATGGGGTTAAAGGAAAAGTTATTTGTTACATAAGTATGCCAAGTAATAAATGTAGAAAGGATAATAGATTTATAAAATCATCATTTTGCAAATATCATAGTAATAACTGATTCAGTCAAGAATCATTAGTGAATGCTAAAATAAACTAGGTACAAGTTTGGTGAGGAACATACTATTTCTTGGTCCCCAAATATTTTTTCCACAAATTATTCACTCATTATAAATCAGTAACAGTAGCTTTATGGTGGATCACCCACGAAGACAGTATGATTTTACAAGTTATTCAAGTCAATAACACCAATAACAAACCAAAAGACTGAGAGATACAATATCACTCTGTGTTATTTCTGGCATTATCTGAATCTAATCATAATGGAACATCAGAAAAACCAAAATTGAAGAACATTCTACACAATAATTGTTCTATATTCTTAAAAAATATCAAGATCATGAAAGACAAATGAGGGTACTTTTCAATTAAAAGAGACGAAATACTGCTGACAACTAATTGTAATGCATGATCCTAAATCACATACTAGACTGGGAAAAAAAATGTGGCTA